CCCCAAAACCCCAAAACCCCAAAACCCCAAAACCCCAAGAGGGTGGCAAAAAGCTGAATCCCCTGTAAATTTAATATCTCTATTCTTTTATAATAAATTAAAATGTCAGGTGAACGAGGAGACAGTCCAAGTTTTGAAGAAATCGCAATAAAAATAGAACAAGATGATTTCCCACAGGTAATTACTTACATAACTTATTGATCCCAACTCCTTAGCCATTTCACATGGTTTATCAGGGTTTTAGTTATGCAAAACAGCGATGTGAGCTGATGAAATATCGTTTTAATAGTACCTCTAATATGTCTGTTTAGGGTAAAAGGCTCAAGGTAAGATTTACCAAAAACACGGGTTTTGATCGTAATTGACCTCAAAATACTCAGTTTTGGCACCTAAAGGCCTACTCTCTGCCCGCTTTCCATAGGAAATGGAAAGAGTTGGTTAAAAAGAAATTCGGAGATTCCTGTATTTGATCAAATATCGGTGATTAAACCCTATAATTTAGCACAGATTAACACAAGAATAGACTTTTTAGCTGTTTTAGTCATATTCTCACGGATAACACTCTGTTATTCCTGAAGGCTAAAAATAGTTGAGTTTTAGTGCTTTATATGCATGTTTGAAATAGTAGATTCTCAGATCGTTAAATACTAAATTTTATATCAGGTTTATTACCTTGCTGTAAAATTTGTGTCATTTATTTCCTGAATGTTTATTCTTTATATGAGAGAGATTAATAATTTCAAGTTACAAGTCTTCATTTTGGCATACACTTCATTTCAAATTCAAAGAACTTATTGTTTAAGTCACAAATTAAAACAATTAAAGAAGCTTTAGACAAGCTCTTCTGTTTTAGATGATATTTTTATGAATAAAATTTTGAGGCTTAGAATGTTCGGTCCGAGAGCTATTGCATACTTCAAATGATTGGACATTTATATTCAGAGTAATTAACCCATCTATTTTTAGAATAAAATACTTTTGATGAGTTTAGCCACTAAAATAATGCTAATAATTTTTAAATCAATGAAGTGTATATTCACTTGGTGCCTAAAAAGTACTATTTCTTAAAATACATTAAGCATGGCCTTGGTAAAATGCATTACTTTCCTTGAACTGTAAAAATTTTATCTCATTCACATTTTTCCATAAAACCCTATCAAAAACCCTTATCTCCACCCACCAAACCAAATATTTCCTACTCCAATACGACATTCTGCTTCTTAGACCTCAAATATTTCTTCAAAATTATTTCCAAACTCTTGAGGCTACCCTTACTTAAAATAAACCGTCAAAAATTTCTTCCACTATTCCTTTAAGCGAGGCTACCAAATTGTTAACATGTAGTTCAGAGTTCCTAAATAGGAAGTTTGTAGTACAGGCTTTAGGTTCAGCTTAAAACCCTTAGTATTTTTGGCTCCTATATAGAGTGGAAATTGCTGTTGGCTTGTGATTTGGGTGTTGATACATTTTTGAAATAATACGGTGATTAAGACATCCAAAATTTAGCATCATAGAAGTAGTCTCCTACAGTTTAGGGTTAGAAGGGCTCTTGCTCAGTCAGAAATTAGCTTAATATAGTTTATAAATTATACTCCTTCAAAAATGAGAGTGGTGAATATTCCAAAATTTCAATTACTAGGCCAAATTTGATAGCAGTATGTAAATATCATTATTCTTCATATCTGGTCATGAAAATATTAACGTATGAATTATTCATAATGACTATTGTAAATTAGGGAAAAAGGTCTTCAAACATGGTAGGCATCCTAAAAGATGCTTACATAGATGCATAACCCCTACTATTTGAGTGTGTCACTAATTTTGAATTCAGTGGTATCTCTCCTGTGGATGATAATACAGCTTATGTTCAATATTTTGTGGAAAATTATACGAAGAATCGATAGACCCTTTAGCTTTGGTTTAGTTTTACCTGAATAATAACTCTAACGATTTAATTATTTAGAAAGCACAAAAAGCAATCCGGAAGAGAAGCTACAGTAATGATGAGGTAAGTATTAGGATTATTCATAAATATTTTAGTTTTATAAACTTCTGGGGACTTAATAGAAGTTGGGTGTTTCAAGTACATTTAAGGTTAATTTTAACCAAAATTTGGGATGGATTTTGATTATTTTTAGACCTTATTGGAATACCAAAAGAATATTTGTCAGTTTGGGACCTCTGAGGAAGGACTGCTAGTAGCACCAACTTGTGGGAGCAGAAATAACCATACTAAGCAAAGACTCGGTACGAAATTAGACTAAGTTTTCAAATAGAGCCGAAAAGAGAATCGAATAAATTACCAACTCATAGTTCAAAGAGAATCTCTTTTACTGGAAGTTACTCTTCGAATCATTGTGAGTCGGTCTCAGGTATGGAATCAACAATAGGAGAGAGTGCCTCTTCTTTGACCTTTATTCAGTCATTAAAAGAATGTCAGAGTAAGTAGTCGTCTATTAATTAAATCAAAGACATATTCAACCAAATAGACTTATTTCAAGAAAAATTTAGTTAAAATTTGAGGATTTGATTCTTCTCTTTGATTTTTACTTTTAAAGCTTTGAATTTACATTATTTTTAGCAGAGAGGAGATCACACAAGGCTTTTAAAGATAAAGAGTATACTCAAGAACTAGCAATGCTAAAAGATATGAATACCTTCAAAGACGACTTGCTCAGATGCTTCTCAACAAAGCTTAAAACGCTTCAAGTAAGCTTAAAATAACCTAAAATAGGCTGAAAATCAATCCTTCAGACAACAAGCTGCAAAAGATAAATCTCAAATAGAGATGTATAAAGAAGAATCTAAGGCTTATCAGGCTAAAAACAACACTTTAAAATCAAAATTGCTCCATTCAGTTAAATTTATGACAAATACCACTTCGATCAATGAAGACAGCACCAGCGCCAATATTCTACACAAAACCCTCAGAGAAAATGACGAACTGAAAGATAAAGTATCTCAAATTACTCAGGAAAATGAGATACTCCGGAAACTTCTGAACCTTCACCTAGAAAACAACTCTTTCAAATCTTTCCAAAATGAAATCGAGATCATGGAAAAAGAGGCTCAAACTGAGAAGGGGCTCATTCCCAGTACTGTTCAGGAGGACCTTGAAAAGCAGAGTTACAAGCCAATTCTCAAAACAAGTATTAGAGACAGAGTAAAAAGATGAAAGAGAAAGAGAACGGAAAGCTTTCACTACAGTGACTTTGGAGACACTTCCCCTGAAGATGAAGAAGGACAAGACACTACTTTGAATAAACTCAGACGGAAATCTCAGAGGATAAGCCAATTCTCCTCGGGTTATTCTATGCAAGCTATTGAGAATTTAAGGAAGGAAGCAGAAAATGAACAATCAGAGGACAAATCTGCCTTTAGCTCATCTAGTTCTTCAAAAAGTGATCAAGGTGAAAATGAAGATAAAGAAAAGATTGAAGACAAAAAAGAGGATGAAGAAAACCAGCCTGTAGAGCAGATGAAATTCGACAAAAGAGCAAAACTTTGACCCCAGAAGAGAGCTAGAATCAAATCTAGTGACCAAGTAAACACACTAAAAGGAATATCTCCTCTAAATTTTCATAAGCGTACTCGTAGCAACGAATCGAGTGAAGATGATTCCTTTGGTTTTAATCTCAAGAAAGGAGGTGGCTATAAAATGTCGATGAAGGCTCCAGAGAATAATGAGGAATCGACAAAGGATAAAAATGAGCTCCCATCAAGCTGAGAAAATAAAATAGATATCCCAGAAAATGATGAAGCTTATTTTTCAAGTTTTAATAAAAACCCGGTTTCAAATTCATCTATAAAGAAGAGAATAAGGCGTGTCAATAGTCTTGTTGATGGAAAGATAGATATTTCAGCAGAGGATCTCCCAAGCTCTGATTTTAACAAGCCTACTAAGATAAGATACTCGATTCACAGTATAATAGAGGAAGAAAAATCTAAATCCTCTAGTTCTACCTCTTCTGTCAAGAGTAGTGATGACTTAACATTTTATTTTAACATGAATCCCAATTCGCTCAAAAGGAAGAAATCTTCATTTTGAACAATGACATCTGTGGCATCTCAAGCTCAAGAATCAGAGAGTGGCGAGAAAACTCCAGGATCAACTAAGCGACTGCCATTCTTTAAAATTAAGAAATACACTGACTCTCACCTAAATTTCATTGGTGAAACTCCAGATAAATCAATATCTGGAAAGAAGAGGCTTAGAAGGAAATCAATGGCAATTATTTTAAAAAACCTAGAGTAAGATACAATCAAACCTTCTCTAAGACCAGAAGAGGCTGAGGACTTTTTGCTTAAAGTATTTCTATCGTTGTTGATAGTAATGATACTGATGATAGCATAACATTCCTTGAGCCTAGCACTCACTACAAATCATGGTTTAAATTTTAATAATTGTACATATTTACACTTCAATCTCTTTTAATTTTTAAGGGGTTTTGGGGTTTTGGGGTTTTGGGGTTTTGGGG